GATCAATAATTTTAGCATCAATTATATTAAAATTAGGGGGATATGGGATATTACGTTTAATAATAACAATAAAAATTGAATTTATTTATTTTAGAAAAATTTTAATTGTAGTAAATTTGTTTGGAGTATTAATTTTAATATTAATATGTTTAATACAATATGATATATGAAATTTTATGAATAAATAAATAAATAAAGCTTAAATACGACGAGATATGAATGAACGTTTGGCGGACAAAGTGCTCGTATCAAGCGTGGAAGAAGAAATTCCGTGGAAAAGGCAGGAGAGTTGGTTCACAGTCTTTAAAGTGGCTCTAATGGCCATTTCCAAGAAGCGTCTCGAAACTGGAGAGCAAGTTCCATTACCGGGCGAGCGCTGTAGCCGGCTTTAATCCCTTTCGGCGAGTTTTCGAACTCGTATAAGCCAAGCCCGGAATTCGCCGACTTAGGGGGCTGTCGACCCAAGTATCCCGCGCGAATGTCACGAATTCCCAACTTTCCGCCTTCGAACCTTACATACTTATAAAACAGATTTCCAAAAGGGGCCAGCGTTACAGAGAGAAGCAAAAAAATTCGACTGGGTTTATCGGAAAATATAATTTCATTATAAATTTCAGACGAGTGGTCGAGTGATAATTCGTATAAATATTCGAGGCAATCGAGTGGCGTAGTGGCAGAGTGGGAAAATGATTTATGGAACGAGCTCGAGGGAAGAGGAAGGTTTCTCTCGCGTTAACGAGATTGCGGCAAGAGGATAGAGAGAATTCGAAGTTTCCTCCTCCCTCTCTCTGCGGAAGAAATCTCGAAGAAACAACTCTTCCCTCAAACTCTGGCGACGCAGGATTCGAAACTTTCGGCGAATTACTTTCGGTAACGATAGAAAGTTGGTCGAAACGATGCGTCTCGATCGAGACCAACTTTTCTGTAAACCGATTTCTGATCATTCGCAATTATATACTGTTATTAGGTGGATTAGTCTCTTTAAATTTCAAAGGAAATTTATTTAATTCATTCGCAATCGAGAAATAGAGAAACAATAATATTCGTTTAATTTTTAATATACGTTGCAAATTTCAATTTTTAAATAGTGAAACGCGTCTCGATCGAGACCAATTTTTCTATAAACCGATTTCTGAATAATCATCGATCATTCGCAATTATAGTAAATATACAATTATTAATTATAATCGTTATTAGATGGGTTAGTATAATCTTTTTAATTCCAATTTTCAAATTTATTTAATTCATTCGTAATCGAGAAATTATTTCAATATATATTATTATAAAAATTTCAATTTTTAAATAGTGAAACGTTTCTCGATCAAGACCAATTTTTCTATAAACCGATTTCTAATCATTCGCAATTATATTACTGTTATTAGGTGGATTAGTATAGTCTCTTTAAATTTCAAAGGAAATTTATTTAATTCATTCGCAATCGAGAAATAGAGAAACAATAATATTCGTTTAATTTTTAATATACGTTGCAAATTTCAATTTTTAAATAGTGAAACGCGTCTCGATCGAGACCAATTTTTCTATAAACCGATTTCTGATTAATCATCGATCATTCGCAATTATAGTAAATATGCAATTATTAATTATAATCGTTATTAGATGGGTTAGTATAATCTTTTTAATTCCAATTTTCAAATTTATTTAATTCATTCGTAATCGAGAAATTATTTCAATATATATTATTATAAAAATTTCAATTTTTAAATAATGAAATGCGTCTCGATCGAGATCAACTTTTTTGTAAACCGATTTCTGATCATTCGCAATTATATACTGTTATTAGGTGGATTAGTATAGTCTCTTTAATTTTCAAAGAAAATTTATTTAATTCATTCGCAATCGAGAAATAGAGAAACAATAATATTCGTTTAATTTTTAATATACGTTGCAAATTTCAATTTTTAAATAGTGAAACGCGTCTCGATCGAGACCAATTTTTCTATAAACCGATTTCTGATTAATCATCGATCATTTGCAATTATAATAAATGCGGAATGCAATTATTAATACCATTATTAGACAAATTAGTATAGTCTCTTCAATTCCAATTTTCAAATTTATTTAATTCATTCGCAATCGAGAGACGAATTGATAGAAAAATAAAGAAGAGAAATAGAAAAGGATCGTTTGAAGTAATATTCGTTTAATTTTTAATATAATTGCAAATTCCAATTTTTAAATAGTGAAACGCGTCTCGATCGAGACCAACTTTCCTGTAAACCGATTTCTGATCATCGATCATTCGCAATTATAATAAATTATATACTGTTATTAGGTGGATTAGCATAGTCTCTTTAATTTTCAAAGGAAATTTATTTAATTCATTCGAGCAATAGAAAAAAAATATATAAATAATATAAATAATATAAATAAATTTCTCGCAATGGAGAAGTGGAGAAACAACAGAGAAATAGAAAAGGATTATAATATTCTAATATAATTGCAAATTTCAATTTTTAAATAGTTTCTATTACTTGCGATTGAAGCAAGGGAATACGAGATCTGTTGTAAAGATCGAGTTTCTGTGTTCACAATTTCGAGGATGGATTATTCATTTCGACGACACGTGTTGTCCAGATAGAAGAGATAATAAAATCGTCCCATTTACAGCACAGTTTCTGGGGGAACCGCGTCGTGACGAGTCGATTGAAGGGGAGCGCGGGCTTGATTATTGTAAAGGGGGAATTCGGAATGGCCGGTGACCGTCTGGTATGTTCGATTGTCGTCTGGCCAGGAAATCGAGCGAGGAGAACACGAGGAAGGTGGGGCAATCGTGCTCGCGACGAGCGGAAGTCGGCCGGCAAGGTAGAAACGGACTCTGTTCCCGATTCTTGAAAGCTCGAGGGTGCCGCAAACACCACTTTATTGATTTCCCCGAGTTTAAAGGGAAGCACTCGGTCCGCGTACGCACACAACTACGTCCAATCCCTTCCCATTTCAATCCAAGCAATAAGATGATATCCTTTGTATCATCCAATTTCGTGTGTAATTTTTTGCAAGATAAAATATAATAAATAGTTAAATAATATAATTATTTAATAATTAAATAATTAAATAATATATATAATAAATATAATAAATAATAAATAAAAAGGTAAAATAACGAATATTCTCCAAATAGAATAGAAAGAATTGTTTCTGATACTTTTCCATTGCTTTCTACGCGTGTATTTCTTCTTATCTTGTGTATATATATATATATTATATGTATGTATTATATGTATTATATATATACATATATTATATGTATGTAGATTCAATCATGGTTGGAAAAAATAATAAGAAAAAAAGAAAAAGAAAAATATCGCGGAGACGATATGGGATGGCAATGAGCGATAAGGTGATAACACGTGGGTCGACGATAGGTTGAAAGTTACATTTCTCATTATCTCGCAGGTGTGAAAGCGGCGGCCAAGGACGAAAGAATTTTCAAATCACTTACGTAGTTGTTTGCTCGACGGGCAAACTTTTTTTTATCTTGTACGCGTGAACATTTTTTTCGTCGCATCATTAGGAAGACGAAATTATATTTAGACGGGGATAAAGAATCATCCGTTGGAAAAATACATTCTTTTTTTTTTTTTTTTTTTTTTTCTTTTCAGAAACCTATCTTATCTTTGCAAGCAATCGTTTCAAGGAAAATATATTCGATGAGCGAACGAGAGGAGGGTTTATTTTTTATTGGGGAAAAAGCTGTTATCGAGCTTCGTTCGATTTCAATCTGAAAAATCTCTCGATAAAAATCGAGAATGATTAAGCGGGGTTAATCAGTTTCGCGTTTGAAAATATTCTCCATGTATTATCTATCCTCGAGAAAGATATTTTTAGTTTTAGTTTTTCAGTAGTGACAATAACGTGCGTTTAAATCTTTAATCTAATATAATAAATTCATCTTCATTGAATTGGATGAATATAAGAGTATGTTTCATTATTATTTACAAAGTGAGTTAAAAGGAGGAAGATAGGATCGAATCGAACAGATGTCACTGTTTTTTTAATACTCACAAGAGTTTATCACATTGCCTCATATAATACTGGAATATGGATCAAGAAACAAATTCGTTTGCACGGGTCAACTAATGCACGAGTTAATACTTGAAATTCGTTAAAATTAACAAGTTAATATAACTATATATATTTCATAACGTTACCAAATGTTAAAATATACTTTGATCTTTACATTTGGAATAAAATTGGCGAATCTTATTCTCTTTCGTGGCGAATAATTTTTTTAAAAAAGTGCCATTTTTTCAAAGATCCAATTAAGATTTTTCGCAATATTCGATATTCTTTTCTTCCATCGTCTGTTGTTTTCTTTTTGCAAGATTATTCGTACACCGATACTGAAACCATGCAAAAAGAAAAAAAGAACGTTTTATTTAATCAATATAACTTTTCATAGAAATTAAAAAAAAAAAATTAATATCGAATAAAATTGGACAATTATAAAATAATAAAAAAATTTATGAACGTGATATCGGATCGAAAACGAACAATCAACTTTTCATTCAGGGAAAATTTCAATTTTCGAATATTAATATATGATGTGTAAAACCAGATAATCATACGAGAGAATGATATTCAATAAAGGCGTAACGTAACGTTGAAGTGTAATCGTTTGCATTTCTCAAAGAATTCGAATTTACTTGAAATTATTTCATTTCCCCGCGATTCTTTCGAAACTTAAAATTAAGTTCAAATCTCTTCTAAAACGTAGTTTATTTTCCAACAATCTTCGAAACTCCACTCGTTTATACGCTTTTGCCTCGCCTCTTCGTACATTTTGCGCGACCACATTTTGCGGAGGCGTAGCAACTGATACTTATGTATACATATGCATATACCAGTTTTCAACTCAAAATGAGTCGAACGCGAAAAAAGAAATGACAGATAAAAAATGCAGCGTGACACATTGCTCTCGCCTTTTATTATTGTAAACTACATAGCGATTTAATAATAAAACGGAATTGAATTTCACTCACCACAACAAGCGCGTGCGTCAGAGCAGTCGATGACCTCGACCTCCTCGGTGTCATGCCGACGACCTCGCCTCTCATGATGCTCTCGACGACTGTGCAAAAAAGGAACAAGCTAAAATCGACGGGATTATTTTTTTTATCTTTTTCTTCTCCGCTATTTTTTTAAAAAAAAAAAAAAAAAAGTACTCGCGCGATACTCAGAAAAAGTTCTTCTTCTTCTTAAAAGTTTTATCGATTTTTAAGAAGGGCGACCAATTCAAACGCGTCATCGTTTATCGATCGAAGAGATTTTCTTTTTTTTTTTTTTTTTTCTCGTAAGAATCGAAAGATTCGAATTGTCGATTTCATTGGACTCACCTCCGTCGCCAATCAACCGCATTTGTACTAAGCTCGGGTCCTCGTTGTGGTCCTCGAGAACTGTGTCATCGGTGACAGTCAGGTCCTGGAATTGGAATCGCAACGAGCGTGAATATGCAATCAAAGTGGTCGATTGACTGTACGACTCTCGAAAACAGCTTTTTCAGGCTGATTTAAAATAAATATGATTACGAATATAAATACAGTCACAGGTCGTAGAATTAATCGGTTTAATCGGGAAAACGAACGGATAAATCGAGATCCACGCGGTAATTCCCGGAGGAGGAAATGATTAAAAACTGAAATTTTGCATGGAGAATAAGCTCTTTGTATAATTACTTTTTTTCTTTTTATTTTTATTTTTATTTATTACCCCAATTTGTGGATAATCTTCGCGATTAAATCTACAGTTAATCCCAAAAAGCGATCGTATTCGATATATATTTTATGGAAAGTTGTAATATATTTAACAATAAATAGAAGCAATCTCTCTGATATCAATCTTTCACATATTCAATGCCCCATTTTAACAATTCTTCTTTTTATCTTCATTTCTATTTTATTTTCCTAAATGTATGAAGAAATAACATTATTTAAAACGCCACTTCCAATTATCGAAAAATTTATTCTGCAAATAAATGAATAATTATTCGCCTAATTATTACCTTCCCTCGATATTACGAATTCAATTCCTGAGAAAATACACATTTGTTATTAGAAGAGAAAAAAAGAGAAAAAAAAAGAATCATTACAAATTTTTCAAGATTGATAACAACTCGATTGATTCTACTGATAAAAATTTCGAAACCAAGACTTTACCTTGGTGGACTCGTTGTAACCAACGATGACGGCAGTGTACCATTGCGTGGTGCCCTCGGCCCGATAAACTTCGACCCTGAAGCCGACTAGAACGCTCGGCGTGGTGAGCAGGATCCTTTGTCCGTCCTGCATCTCTGCCCATCGCCTGACAGCGCTCGCCCAAGGCACCGAGCCTTTCGTAAGCTCCCAGTCCTGCTGCAGAAACAACGGCTCGGTTGAAGCCTCGTTACGGGACAAAACGAAATCCAAATCCTTTAAATTAATTCTTTGACCTCGTTTCGACGATTGTAAAAGTAGAGAAAAAAAAAATATATATATATATTCTTCGTTATTTGCAAAGGGAAAGAAGATAAAATATACGCGATTAATTTTTCTTTTTCTTTTTTTTTTAAGCAATAAATCTAAGTTCCTCGAGGCGGCCATCGAGGCAGACACGATACTTCACGTATCGTAACTGGGTGATTAATTCTCCTTTGGCGGGTGATTCGTTACGCTCAGGGAAATAATCGCTTTGTGAAGACGATTCTTCTCTCGTTTTCCATCAATCGTTTATTTGTGCAAACCGATAAACTCGACAAAAGCTGCAAGCATTTGTTTTGTTTAAGCGGGATTAGTTTTTAATTTGTCTATTCTCTGGAAACAGAGAGATGGCGCTCGCTATATACCTCTATTGTTTTAATCAGCTGATAGAAGTAACAATTCAATTTTCTTCTCAATTATATACGCTTCATGCAATCGTCCGTTTTGTACAATCAATGTTATTAATAATTTCATCAAGACGTGAAGTAACAGCTGTAATTCGATTATTATAGTGGTTAGAAAATAATTATTCCACGGAGATTCAGAGGCAAAATTTGTGTATTATAAAATGTGACAATATTATTATTTATATATACACATAACACTTTCACGATTATCTAAACTCGCATCACATTAATTTCAAAATCAAAACGTATTTTTTATATGTAATAAAATTTTTTTCATCGTTATTTCAAAATCAAACTTTAGTTTTAAAAAACAATCGACATCGAGGTAATAGAAAATCGAAAATGGAATCAGATCTATTTAGTAATAGAACTTCAATGAAGTAATTGTATTCCGTTCTACTCTGTCTAGTGACTCTCTCTTTCTCTCCCCCCGTCAATATTTTCACAAATACAAGACAGTTATACGCGTGTTGCGCCAACATCTCGTTACGTCACGATCGCATCGTTACGTCAGATGCGTTGTGTAATCACGACATGAAGGCGCAAGACGTGGTGATACACGATAATAGTAATATAACGGCAATTATAATCCCATTACCGAAGCGTTGAGAGAGGCTCAACAATCGCTCTCCAACGATTTTCGTGCGATACCAGCGACGACCGAATGCTCGTCTCATCGTGACGCCGATATTTTCCAACGGTGGAAAGAATTTTTCTTTTTTTTCCCCAGAATAATCAAGAGGAGAAAATCCTTTTCGAGGATTCGAAAAAAATGTTGATTGAATAGTCGATTGAATGGCAAAGAAAATATGTAGATGTAGCACGTGATTGGATTTGAAGAAATTTTTTCGAAAAAATATTGGACAATTTTATACGTAAAATGTAATTCGACGTTAATTTGTTTTCGTAAGCGGACGTGTAGAGGATTTTAAAATCCGAAGGATCGATGGAGCGAAGAAGAAAATTCTCATATGCCAATTAATTGAATCAGAAGAAGTTAAGAAAATACTTATATTTTAATGGATCAGAATTTTTTCTAGAAATATTCCAAAAATAGAAAGAAGTATCTCAATCTTCGCCTATCCTGTGCTTTACAAAAACGATAATTAACAATTATCACCCTTACTCGGCTAATATTTCTCTTTATCTCTTTATCTCGAAGGCTCCAAGCCTTCATCGAGAGGTGGTATCTCTCTCTCTCTCTCTTTCTCTCAAGAAATGACGATCCACGAGGGAGGAGAGGCGCGAGGTGAAAAGAAAACACGAGGAAAGGTACGTATACGCGGGGTGTATCGAGGACCGTTAGGTAAAACGGGAATATGTTGGCGCCTCGCGTTGGCCGTTCTCCAACGTTTCATCGGTGCAACACGGTGTGTCGACACGAGTCACCAAACCGGCAACCGCGGCAAGGAAACAAGAGCGAAAAAACCGTCTCGAAAGGTTCACGCGAGCCCCTCCCCCCTCCGCCCGAACGAATCCACGTGATCGCTTCTTTCCGTCCCGTACGTACGTATTGCACGGTATGCGTGTTGCTAGGTATGCGTCTCGAAAACAGAAACCGGCAGAAAGAACCCGTTGCATTTATAGTTCAGGGTCACCACACTGTTCGCTCTTTCGCCCGGTCCAACCGATCCGACTCACTCCTTCTCCGTTCCATTTGGAATCGACTCCACCCACTTCTTCCTCCTCTTCCTTTTGCCCTCCCCTCCTTCCTCTCCGCCGCACCTTTCTCTTTCTCTTTTTCACCACCATTCGGCGCCACTCTTTCCTATATTGCTCGCTCGCCACTCGCTCTCTTCCTTTTGCCAACGCGATTCTTCCATCCCGTTTCTTCTTTCTTTTATCCTTTTGTGGCCAGCCGGTCGCAGCTATTTTTTTTTTCTTTCTCACTCCTTTTCCTTTGTTCGCTCGAAACATTCCTTCTACCTTACGTTTCTCTCTTTTGCTTTCGCCCATTTTTTTCTTTCGCTTCTTTGGCAATTCCACTGTTCTTTTCGTTTCTCGAGCAAAGATGTTTTCCTCTGTCTTTTGCGAAGGGAAAGTGCAGCTGCATCACGTGTATCAAAAATCGATAATCGAACGGGCGGCGATGGCCAAGCGAGCAATTTCCACTGACCCCGATGTGTCGTCCTATTATTTCTCTTCTATTTTTAAGCGCGCTAACGCGATGAAGTTCAACCGTCAGCCTATCTCAGGATTATTTTATTTTATTAGCTGCGCTAACGTTCCGTTGAAAAAGAAAATGTAAAAAGAAATGATTCGAGAAATGTAGAATAAATTTTTTCTTCTAGACTTCGTTCTAGACTTCGAGTGAATCATGGTATTAATCAATGCTGAATCTTCAAACAAATTTATTCTATACTTATCTTCGCATCTTCTAATCAAAATACCGATCAATACGTGCTTGGAAAAGGAAGCCTTTTACTCTTAAACATTCCTTTCGAACTTTTCCTTGCGTGACAATCATGAGAAATTAAAGAGTTATTTATTAATTAAATCTCAATGTTCTTGGGAATCGAGCGCGAGAAACGTATTACTTTTCTTTCTCTTTCTCTTTTTCTTCCATCGAGCGAAACTAATTCGAAGGTAATCGGGTTTCATACGATGGCCAGCGGAGGATCAAAACTCTCGCGCAGCTGATCCTGACCACGATCTTCCCGGAAACTTCTCGCCGCACGTGAATGACTTAGAAATTCGTCGGGGATCCGAGAAAACTTTTAACGGTAAAAGTTCCGCTAGTTTAATTACTTGGAAACAATTCCCCGCATCCGCGCCCCACCAGTTCGAACGTAAAAACTTTTCAAGTACGCTCGACCGTGCTCCGGGAGAAAGCACTCGTCGGATCGATTTATCGCGCCATGTTTTTCCCCTCCACCCGCCATCTTGAAATATCGATAATCGATCGCAATTCTTTTCACGCTCCAATTTTTAACCAAGTCGTTTCAAGATTACGTGTAATTTAATTTATTTTTTTGGATAAAATTAGATTGAAAATTAGAATAACAATGTTTCGCCCTCGATCATTCGTCCTTTAAAGGATGAAAATGAAAAATTGGAAATTCGCGCGAATTTTTCAAATTTATTCTCACTCGATAAAGCAAATTTCTACGAACGAACCCTTAAAAAAGTAAACTGAGTTTATTATACAAATTCGAATCTTCGTGATCGATCGTAATTTTGAATAATAAATTCGGATCCCTCGAAAGAAAAGATATTAAGCTTTTTTAAAAATTGGATTGGACGGAACCGGGGGCGACTTAAAGGCGATATATTCGGTCGGGATCACTCATCCCTCTCGAAAGATTACTCGCAGTCACGGTTCCCCGAGGGCTGGCGGATAGGTCAATAGCCTCGGAACTTGCTTCCAAGTTTCCTCGCCGTTTCTAACGAACTAAGTTTCTCGTTGTGAGGTTGCAGCTTGCTCGAGGTCGGTTTCGGGAAACTTGCGTGACACTTAATCGGCCAAGGATCCCAAAACGCGCCCCCATCGATAAAATATATAAATCGCTATGTAAAGAAGAGGGGGAAGATTCCTCCACGGGTTTTTAAAGCGCGATCGATCGATCCGACTTGTTCCAACTTCGGGAATGAAGATGGAAGTTTACATTTTTCACGATGTTGTAAAACGTCGGATTCGTGGAAGTCGATATCGAGGAAATAAAAAAAAAAAAAAAAAGAGAGAAAAAACATGGATGCTATATCATCATATACTCACGGTAAACGGCTTCAGCTTCGAGTAATCGACGAAGTCCAGCCTTCGATCTTGCATGAATTCGAGAGGCATCGCGTCTTCTGGTAACTCTGCACGCGCCACCAGGGGATAAAACGTCTGCAAATGAATTCGATTCGATTACATTGACGTCCATTATTCACAGTTGGTCGTATCATAGTATATCAAACGTTTTTTCCAATTTAATGAAATTTTAACCGTAAAAAATTTTTTTTCGTTTAAATTATTGTTACGCACGAATTTAAGAAATGCATTTTTACACACAATTTTTTTTTTTTAATAGGATTCAAGTGGAAATGGAATTATCGATCGTAATCTTTCCAAATTATTTTCCAATTTAATGAAATTTTAACCGTAAAAAATTTTTTTTCGTTCCAAATTAAATTATTGTTATGCATGTATTTAAGAAATGCATTTTTACACACAATTTTTTTTTTTAATACGATTCAAGTGGAAATGGAATTATCGATCGTAATCTTTCCAAATTATTTTCCAATTTAATGAAATTTTAACCGTAAAAAATTTTTTTTCATTCCAAATTAAATTATTGTTACGCACGAATTTAAGAAATGCATTTTTATACATAATTTCTTTTTTTTAATACGATTCAAACGGATGGAAATGGGATTATCGATATTAATCTTTCCATTCGATTTCTTTAATTTGCGCGATAAAATTTAACAAGTATTTAACAAATAAGCGTCTTACAAAAAAATTTTATTCCGATAAATTTCTTTTTCTACGACAACAAACTAAACCGTCGAACGTTACGAGGGCCGAAATAAAACGCGAAAACCGAGATATTTCCATTATTGCATATCCATATTTAATCCAAATGGCGTCTTTTCGACGCGACGAAGAGAGAGAGAGAGAGAGAGAGAGAGAAAACAAGAACAAAAAGAACGACGCTCGCGAGAATTAATTAAAAGTTCCGGTTAATTAGGATCAAAGCTCGCGTCCACCGAGGGAGGAGACGGAAACCCACTCGAAGCCCCGCGCACAAGATCACGGACAGTTTTGCATGCAAACCGTGGAACTGCACTGTTCTCTCCCCTTCCATCGAATAGGGGAATCGATCTCGAGAAGGCGAAAAATGGACGCTTAAAAAAAAAAAAAAAAAAGGGAAAAAAAAAGAATATGAAGAGAAACGAAAACGTTGGAGTGATGGAATTTAAATTTCGTTTAAAATGTGATCGATGATTAAGGCGAGGAAAGGGGTGAAGAGGGCGCACTTACGAGAGCCGGCCAGGCGACCGTGTTCGCTACAGCTGTGGCGCCCCTCAAGAGTTTCCCGTTGATACGGTGATGGTGGTGGTTATTATTGGCGTGATTGTGGTGATCGATGGCGATGAGGCTGGCATGCCTTGGATCAGGTCGCTCGGCCCAGCACAGCCCTTTTTCCACTAAGAAGAACGAGAACACCGCGTCCCTGTGGGGCGATAGCCATTCTCTCCTTTGCCACTCTACGTCGTCGTATTCTACGAGGATCTGGAAGAAAGACGTTCGTTCATGTTGCGAGTTTCTTCAACAACACGCCGGGGTTCGATGACACTGCCCACTCCATACAATAACCGCGCTATCCATCACCGTGCCTCAATCACGCTTTGTTCTCAACCTATCCCTATTCGCGATGCAAATTATTTCTCTCCTCCGATTTGTTTATTGTTCTAGGATGGAAATATTTTAATATTCCGTTTGATCGAATGGATCGATAATCCTAATTATTTATTTATTTATTTATTTTTTTTTTTGTTATTTTATTCGAGATGTTTTGAAATGTTTGGTAGGTGGTTTTTTAAGAAGTTAAAAAATTATATGTGTACTTTTTTTAAGGAGGATAGGATTTAATTTTAATATATCTCTAATCTGAAATGATTTTTTGAAGGTTCAAATTTAAAAAAGGTTTTAAATTTAAAATTTAAAAAAATTTAAATTTTAGATTTATTATTAAATTGATATTATTGACCGATTATGAATCTGAGATTCATAATTAGAAGAATTTAATATTGTCGAAAAATAAATTGTGAATTTTTCTAGAATCTAAGGAAACGTTACAAAGTTTCGAGAGTTTTGCAAATCTAAAAATTCAAGGTTTTCGTTCCCATCCATCTCTCGATACAAATTACTCGATATTTGCAGATCTCCATCTAATAGAAACTCCATCTATCTTTCGTTCGTTCGTCTGGATGGAGAAAAAACGGAAGAGAGCGGAAAGAGAAATAAGAGAAGCTCGATATTGGCCGATTAACGGTATCCATTATTCATAAATCACGAACAGCGTTAAAAGGGTGATTGAAGGGGAAACGGTGAATTCTCACGGTCGGTTTATTTCAGCTCTTCGTTAACACGATAAATTCGTTAACGCCGGGGAACAGCAATGAACGGAGCGATCGCTAATTGAAGGTCGGTCTCTGTGCGTCACTTAATAAATGCGATCACTGTGTCTAACGATCTGGTGAAAGTGATCGCGTATCCTTCATGAAAATGAATCGACCGTGCGCGGCATCTTTCATTTATAATTCAAATTTCTTTCTTTCTTTTTTCTTTTTTTAATCGGCCTATTCGAAACGAGGATTTTTTTTTTCTGCTTATTTTTCGAAATAACGAGGATCGATCGACTATTTGTCGAATCGTTCATTTGGTTGATTTTACGATCGAGCGCGAGCCTCGAACGACCAACATTCCTCTCGTGCAGCGCAACGAACTTAAAGGCACACGCGTGACCCGTTACGGTCGTGGCGCGTCAGCCAATTAAATGCATAAATCAACATTAATCGTGGCGCTGCTAGGTCGTCGAGACCGTTTATTTGCGATCCTTTTCGAAACAGTTTTACAACGCTGTCTTTTTTAGTTTAGTTCGTTTGTTTCGTATATAACGTATTTTCTATACGCGAATGACGTTCTATGACGATGATACATCGTATCAAGATATCAAGGATAAATTGTGAAACATTTTTTTCATAAAACACTTTTTACATTTATATTTCTTCATTCCCAAGAAATTTGAATTTTTAGATTTTATAATTTATAACCCTCTGAATTCTTCCTCGAATCGACGTTCTTATCAACGTTATTTTTTTCGCAATTTCACAATAACGTTTTATCTTTAATTAGATTCCTGGGAAAACGTATTTCTAATCTAAAAAATCGAGCTGCGAATTCGTGGAAAGAAATCAACACGCAATATCGCGGGAGAAAACGGATAAATTATTTCGTTGCAACAAGAGTTCCCCGGGAGAACCGGTGAAAATAAATCTTTGTATGCCCTTGATTTTATCGAATACACGGTCACACGAATGTCCGCTAAAAGCGCGGGGAAAACGAGGCTTGGTAACTCGGGACTCGTCCGTCAGGCGGCGATACCTGTCAGAGTGGGGATCAGTAATGGCCGCCACCGGATTCGAAAGCTCCGCCTCCAGTCAACGTTCCGGCACCGCCCGATTCGGTTGCCAAGGCGACCCACGGTCGGCCATTTTGCACTCGTGACCTACCACAACCGTCTTCTACACAGGCACGAATCTTTCCCCTTCTTCAACCACCACTTTCGACCACGATTCACGTCTTCTCATCCCCACCCAGCTAATACTCGTATCGCGCGCCGTCGCGGTCCGTTTCGCGTTCCCCTCGTTTCGAACACGGACCGAAAGAGAACGGTGCACGCGTGTTGTTCTATCCTCCAGCGAAAAATTTGGAATCTTTTTCTTTTTTCCGATACGTTTTCCCGGAATATTTCATCCCCGCTATAATTTCACGTATAAATCGATTTTGAAATTTGAATTTCTTTGAATCTCTTTCGTTTCTATCTCTCGTAGATAAATAGAAGAATCGTTAGAAATGAAATTCACGTATAATCGCATCTCATCCACTTCCCGATCAGATAACCGTTCGCATCCTGCGTTCGTCGTTCCTTTCGACGTTAAAAATCTAAAACGGCGGCCATTGACCAACTTCCTTCGTACCTTCCGTGACTCTAATCACCATCCAACTATTTCCAACGGCGTGACAACGACCAGAAGGCGTGGATGGAAAACTGCCTTGCCCCCAGATCCCAACAGATAACCGACACGTTCCCACTTATTCGATTAATGGCTATTCCTTTCCAGGCAATTTTTTATTTCCACGTAACGGTCGAAAGAAATTCGGGCAATTTGAATTTGAAAGCAGATTATTTAAAATAACGTTGGGCTACGTTTCGATGAGCGGAGGTGTCGGATAGGTATCTCAAGGTCACTGCCAACATTTTGAAAAGATGCGTCACGCACTGTTTCGCGCATATTTATTTTATTTTTATCGCGCGACGACGAGGAGAGCGAGGACAACGACCCTCTCCCCTCCTCTCCATAGTGGTATCTCTCAAGGTCATTAAAGGTAACCTCTTTTATACATCCTTTTATACACACGCGTATAACTTTTCTTAAAATTAGCCACACACGTTTTGAAATCACGTTTTAGTGTCTATCTCGGTCGATCGATGAACACATAAATCATTCGAACGGCTGTACAACAAGGCCACTTAACCGTATAATATACCAACACTTTTGATTCACGAGGCGCAAAAAAGAACGAATGACAGTTTCCAAGAGGCGAAATGACTACAAGCTGCATTCCACAAGAATGTTCCAGAGTGTGGAAAGACGCGAATATATATATATATATATATATATATATATAGTTTCGTTCGAAAAAAGAATCGAAACAAAGTCGAAGAATTGAAAACGAATCGAGACGTTCCTTCGTTGCGCAAGGCCCAATTAAATATTACGTTAAATACAGCTCTGTTGCGTTACGTGGCCGGCTGCCTCTTCGATCATTTCACGCTCACGTATACTTTTTTTTACGATGTCCTTTCGTGACCTAACCGACTCGCTTCTCTCGATTCTTTTCTGCGCATGCCCGATAATTAAGAGAGAACTGGCTCGCGATCACGTTACAGTACAGTAGTGTTATTTACAAACTTTCGCGTCGTTGGGCAGCCTCGTGCGAGGAAAGTTGCGCGTAAATGTTGAATCGCCGAGCATCGTCGTTGCTATTTTCTCAAGAATTTTTACCAACGGATGGAAATATCTTTTTTCTTGTTTGTACTCGTATCGTATGCGATATTGATATATTCGTGGAATATCATCGACTCGATAATAAACAAAAAATGCAAAATTTAACATAGAAAAATATCGATTTATTTACGAAACGAAAAAGAGACAAGGTAGACGTATATTCTATATTCGATATTTTCCTTCTTTAAAATTGCAAACTGATTAATTTGATAAATAAACTTTAATCGAACTCTTCAAAGATCATATATATATATATCAATCATATCTAAAAGGATAAAAAGAGCAAAGTACTAACTGCGAGAAATAAATTATGTAATCTATTAATACCTCGAATGAATATGACATATAACTAACGTATATAGTCAGATTAAGAAACTCGTGTTTAACAAGTAGATACATCATCGAGGACAATCCGTGAGTAACGTTTATAGCAAGGAATAAAACTTTTAAATACCAAAATATCAAGAGTGTGAAAGGTATCTCTATCTAGAAAAAAAGAGAGAAAAAACCTTTTCGATTTCTATATCGATCTATAAAAATTCTTAAATATCAACAAGGGATATTTCCATCCTCTTAATATTTTCATTCGATGGAATGAAGGAATGGAGATTCCTTTCGAGAAAGAAGAGGAAGAAATCGCGAGAGGAAGATCGATTTCCCGACAAGTGTTTTAGAAAGAGGGAGGGGGAGGTGTAATCGAGAGAGGGATGGGTTCGATCCCATCGCGACCCCGAACAAACTTTCTCGAAGGGAAACTTGGAAAGTTTCGAAATGGGGGGAGGGAAGGATAGGGGCCATTTGCCGTGAAATAGGGACGCGCGTGGGTTTCACGGGACGAAGAGAGGTGGTATTCCACTTGCGTTTCCACGCAGTTTCAAAGGGCCCGGTTTGCGTCATCGCGCCACGTGTGTCGATCGTATATTGGATCGGCTCGTATCAAATATTGGAAACGAGAACGCACGGAAAACAAGGCTGAAAAGCTCGGCTATTCGTCTGCGCGAAGAAAATGAACGGATATGCATATAAAAGCCTTCCATCGAATATATATCCCTTCTTTTGTCGTTTAACGCGGTATTCATTGAAAAGACAAAGTGGGCGGACGATCGAAAAAAAGATTCATCTGGATCGATCGCACGCTTTTTCTTTCCAAGATATAAATATAATATTTTTTTCATACGATATTCGTATTCGTCGGACGGTTGAACTTATATAATTAGAAATGAAACGTAAGCGGAAAAATGTAACGATCTATCGCGTCTATCGAAAGAATTAATTATTTATCGAATGAATTATTTTACTTCCAACAAATTTAGATTAGATATCGGAACTGCATCAGAATTGTGCAATTCTAAATTTATATTTTAAACGTAAATGGATAAGACGGATAATTATCAAGATCAACATTTACGTCAAACTTTAATTTTACTATGCAACATC